GCTTCTTAAACTTGAATGTACCAATGCATTACCTGGCAGTCTTGTTAAAATGCAGATTCTGAATCGCCAGGTCTGGGGTAGGCAGGAATCTGCATTTCTAAAAAGCTCCCAAGTAATGCTGAAGTTGCTAGACTGAGAAGGGCACTTTGAGTAGCCAAGTCCTAGGCCGCATGTTGCTAAGATGAGGCAGCAGCAGTGGGAAATCACAGGGCCACCCACAGCTGGGCAGGTCCTTTTGGCCTGAAGAGCTTCTGGGGACAGAGCAACAGGAGCCTCTCTCACTGCTAGTCTTTTGGGAGAGCTCGGGGACCAGAAGAAACAAGAGAAAGAGCTGCCTATGTAATAGAGGAGACCCCTCCACTCAGACTATGAATGGATGGCATCCCTCTATCCTCCACCTACGGCAGCCGCACAGGAACCCAGGGAGGGATAGCAGCTCTGTGTGGTCACTGACTTGCTTGTGCCCTGGCAGAATAAGGGATTCTTTGTTAGCTCAAAGCCTAGCGGCTTTTCTGGCTCTTGGTGGAGACAGTCATTTTAAACCAAAAATAGATTTTCCAAAATATTGCTGAAATAACAGAAGGAGTAATTAGGATGGTTCAGTCTACCAAACTCTAAACTTAATACATCAAACCAGGCCTGAGTCAAGGTGGAGGCCCTGCTGCAGCAGAGGGTGATCAAAACAATCTTAGTATATTTTTATTTTTCTGCTGGATACTGTTCTGCAAGACTTTAAATTCAAGCAAGTCAAGAGATAAGAGAAGAAGAACCATACTTGGCTATTTGTGACCAAAATTCAGAACTAGTCACTGTTTAAACTGATTTATCTGTATAATATCTTAGTAGATCTTAATTGAGTCCTAACTTAATAAACACCAATGCTGAAATCTTTAAACTATTAGTCTACCCCCTCTGTGAAAACAGGAATGCTCTATTGCGTCTGTAGAGGTAAAATGTGATTGCTGGTAGCAGAGGCAGTGTTTGTAAGAAACAGCTCGGATTGGAAATTCAAAACACACTCTTGGTTTCCCCCTCCTGTTTTCTTGAAGTTACCAAGATGGGTGGTCATGGGATGAAAGTAGCAACATTTATTCAGCACTTGCTGTGGGCCAGGTCCCGTGCTAAGTATATTTCATATGTGTTCCCTTTTAATGCGGCGATGAAAATCATAAGTAGATAGAAATATGTGTTTTTTAGGAACAAGAAATCTGGCATTTAGAGAAGTTGTCGACTTTGCCCAAGGTTATACAGCAATGAAGAGTTGAGGCAGAGGTTCAAACCTAAATCTGTCTAAAATAAAATCCATGCCCTTTCTACCATGGCATGATGCCTCCTAACACCAGATTATTTTATGTTTCTTGCTGAGGATAGTTTGCTCTTTTACAGCAGCTATTCTTATAAGATGTTGAGTTACATCAAAAGTCTATGGGGTTAACAACTGATTAACCGTAAAGACCTTTAAGATGTCTCCCAACCTTTCACATGTCCTCCCACTGCAGTGCTCTTGCACGTGCTGTTTTCTCTGCCTGAAATTCTCTTTCTTTGCTTCCTTTTTGTCTACTTAACTACCTCAGATTTATCCTGCAGACCTCAGGTACATAATGGGCTCATGTTCCAGGACCAGATATCATTCTGGTACCATTACAAACTGCAAACATTAAATAGGTTTCTCTGAGTTGGCTCCTGCAGGAAAATGAATGGAATTCCAAGCAACTTAAAGGAAAGACCCCCTCCAGCTCTAAAAACAATGACTAATTTTTGGTTGATTGAACCGTATGAAATTGCCGATATTCAAGTGACTATGAGCAATGAAAATAGCAGTTTCATATGGGTCAACCTAAAAGTTGATAAAATGAGACTTCCTGAATTTATTACCTGAAATTACATCATCAGAATGAAAAATTTGAAAAGCTATGCTGTGTAAAAGGATTTTTTTTTAAATATAGACTTTACTAGTTTTGAAGACATACTATGATTGATGATACTATACCATACATGATTGCTGTTAAAATAGATATGTTATAATGCACGGTTCCATAGATCAAGCTCTCTTTGTCCACGCCAATTTGTTTCATTTGTTATTTAGACAGCACTTCCTTCTACAGCCCTATGCAACCTAGAACATCTCAATCCGTGGTGTTTTAGGTTGAGGTTGACAGCGGGCATTATGGGTTTCAGGAGAATTCTGGGTGAAGTCAATTTTTTCTTGCACCACTTTATGTTCAGAAGGAGGGTTTCGCTGTGTGACCTGGTGTCCTTACAATCATGAGTTCACTTGTACCATAAGAGGGAACTGCTTTCATGTTTTCCTTTTCTATTCCAGAATATAACAGTAATTTAAAAGTCTGTAATTTGGCATCTAGATGAACTATAAGGTATTTTTCAGTTCTGTGGTTTCAAGATTAGACTTTAAGGAACAAAACCCAACTATGCTTGCTCTCGTGTGCATAGGGTATTTCTGTAACTATATGCAAGGAACTGGCAACAAGAGTAGTTCTTGGCGAGGGAAACTTACTTTTTCTCTTTAATAAGCTTTATTTGCACTGAGCTTCTTTTTAATATCATGTATTATTTACTACTAATAAAATAATTTAAAAAACAAATGCAATTAATTTAAAATTTAAGTAGACAATGCATTTTACTTGTAAAAGCACAGAGCCCCTCCCTTTGTAAATGTTTACATCCTGTTCTTCTTGGTCTTTTTTACAACCTTATCATTATTGTGATTTTTTAAAAATAATAATTCTTAGGAACTGTGGGAGATCGAAAGAGATACAGAAGATTTTGATGATGGAAATTGCTATTTATTCTGCAAATATTTGTAACTTCTTGTTATGTGATAGGTCTGGGGCTAGGTACTTCTTCCGTTCCATAAACTCTGGGAAGCTTCTTGTGTAAACATCCAAGCATTTGTTTTTTCTTTGAGAGTTCTGCATGTTTAAAATGCTTCCCAGAGATAAAGTGGTGGTCTGTTCTCCGTGAATGCCGCAACCCATGAGCTCACCTGCAGTACTGAGGTAAGTCCCAGGTGTCTGGTTGAGGCAAGGAAGGTGGTGGAAGGGAGGGTGACCAGCCATAGAAACTACTACAGGGACATTTTAACTCATAAAATTGTTGAATTACCCAAAAGCTGATTCCAAAGATTTGTAAACAGAATCCTGAACACACTAAAAGAGCTGGCTAACTCAAAAAAGAGTGCTACTTAGGATAAGTTTTGTAAAGCCATAGAATTTCCTTGTTTAAATTCAGATTTCATAGAGATGATGTGTAGATAAGACCAATGCCTTATATTTGCTTCAACTCTGAGTTTTCAAAGCCCTTTGATGTGCATCATTGCTCTGAACCCTCACAGATACGCTGTGAGAATTGTTTTCCATTTCACAGATGAGGAATTTGGAGTCATGTGCCCATGGAAACCTGGAGGAAATGGCTGAGGTTTAGACCGGGTAGGGGAGACCTACCTGTTGGCACTAAGCTAGCCCTACCATGAGCCTCTCCAGAAATAAGCAGAGCACACCTGAAATTATTAGGGAAATTCCCCTGATTTTCATAAAACCACAACAGTGAGTATGCCCTGGGTATCCCCATTTCTTCCATTCTTCCCCTCCAAACCACCTTCCTGAGTCTGCAGCCCAGCCCATCTTCCTAGAGTTAAGTTCTGATTATGTCTCCATCTTCCCCCAGCATCTTTGCTGGCTCCACGTAGCCTACAAAATGAAGTTCAGTCTCCACAAACTGACAATCAAGTCCTCAGCCTCCGGCCCCATCCACTACTCCAACACTCTTTCTCATTTCAGGATGCTATTTCCTACTAGAACAATGCAGACCAGGGTATCACTATCTAACACGCCAGCAAGGGCTGGGCTAGGGTGAGGCAGGCCAGAAAATTTCAGGGGACATCAAAGAACTCAATCATCAAGATAAATGTTTTAATGCAAAATTTTTAAAATTTAATGCAAAAAAGTGATGAAAATATCAAAATTTAAAATAAAGGCAGGGTCAGTATTACCGGTTTTTCCTTTATTTTCAGACTCCAAAATGCCTACGTAGGGCACTGCTACCCATCCTGCAGTGACTTCCCACTAGGGTACCCTTATTAATGATGTTTCCCAAAAGTTAGTTCTCACAACCCTTTGCACACCAGTAACTTCTCTTCTTGAATGTCCCGGCATTTATTTGTAACTCGCCTCTGTCTGGAGAACATATTTCCCCTAGTAACTGGTTGTACTTGGACGGCCATCTGAATCATCTTGGCTCCCTTCCAGCGCCTTCCCAAAGGACGGTGGACCCTCAGCGTCTCTTTGCTAAAAGAATGCAGAGAGCACAGTCCTCAAAGTGGCCGTCTGTGGGTTTGAGCAGAGAAGGAACCCAGTTATGTTTTGTTTGGTCCAGGGTGTTTTTAAAAAACTGAATTTGTTATCAAGACTTAAAAATCAGGATATTTTACAAGAAAAAAATAGAAATCTCTGTCATTTCTTGAAAAATCAGAAACTCTAGCCAAAGTAGGCCGGGCTTCTCCCTTGACAGCCATGGGCATTTAGAGCAGAGGAGCTCTGCCTCGGGAGCTCTCTCCAGTTCGTCGCCTCCTGCCCGTTTCACTTATTTGCATTGCCTGCCAGGTCCCATTAGCTCTTCGGGTTTGTGACTGTGGACATGAAGGGACGAATTCAGGAGACAAAACCCCTCTGCTGGGTCCCCTCGTTCTCTCCTGGAGAATAAATGTTTCCTCGTTGTCCTTTGGAGTACAGTCTTGCAGAGAGGCTCGCAGAAGCAGCACACCTTTCTAGCCCACAAACTTCTCACCACCCGTGAAACTTGCATTGCCCTGCGGACACTGTTTCTCCCTGGCCCTTTGCCCTCTCGGGCAAAGAGCTGAGCCTGCTCTCCACTCCACCCCCCGGGCTCAGGAGCCTGGGGCGGGTCCCCGGCCCCCCGCCGCCGCTCTGCCCTGGCTAGGGCGCTCGGGCTCGCCCACGGCGGCACTGGGCATGCTCAGAGGCGGCCGCGGGGGCAGGTTTGCTTCGCGGGCGCTCGCACTCGGCGGCGGGCGGGCGCGCGGCTGCAGCAGGAGCTCCAGCGCCCGGAGTTGGAGTTGCCGGGAGTTTCCCCCAGCCCCTCCCTCTTCGCGCGCGGCAGCGGGAGCGCGAGCGGCGGCGAGCCAGTGCCCGGGCCAGCCGAGCCTTGTCCGGAGCCCGGAGCCCCGCGCGGGGCAGCCCCCGCGCAGGAGCCTCGCCGGCTGGGACGCGTGCCTCGCACTGGCACTGCAGGGGCACGAGCCAGGCTGCACGGTAGGGCCAGGGCGTGGGAAGCCGGGCGGGAGAGGCAAAGGCCAGGCCAGGCGGGATGCGGCTGCAGCAGCCCCGGCCATCGGGGCGCCCGGCGTTCCGTCCGATGCGGGCGGCCGGGGCAGGGACCCGGCTGCGGAGCCGGAGGAGTAGGCAGGCGGCCAGAGAGATGCTTTCAAGTTGGCGGGCGGCGGGAGAGGGGGCTGCGCGCCCCGGAGCAGCTGCTTTGTGCGCTCCGAGAGCGGCTCGGGTCCCTGGTTCTTCCCAAACCTGGGACCCGGTGTGCGGGCAGGGTTGGGCAACCTGCGGAGCAGAGCAGTTTCCTCCGAGAAAGTTGAGGATGGAGCCCTTCTTTCCTCACTGTCCTCGCGGTAGGATGGGTCCCCAGGCGGAGTGGGTCGCTGCGCCCCTGGGCTGAGCTCCTTCACTCCCGGCTGAAGTCCACGAATTACCCCGACCTCTGCTTCCCTGGAGTCTTCTAGGAAAATCATTCCTGCCAAAACTGAGGTAGGCTCTCCAGGCGGGCACGGCTCCTTGCCTCTGGGCGATGCCTCCTTCTCAACCCCAGACGTGGCCAAGGGCGCGGGGTTCGGAGTCACCGCTTGTGGTGCGCGCCAGAATCGAGCCTCCCACACATGGCTGGGCAATGTGGCTAGGGTAGGTAGATGGCCCGATTTTTCCTCCAGCCTTGCCTTAGCTTTACAACACCCCACCAACCCCACCGCCTTCATCTTCGCAGAGGACAGGACCTGGAGGGAAGGGCCAGGTGGAGAGTTTGGGATGACATACTGTTCCTTAGGAGAGGTTGTCTGGATTGTACCTGCCTTGGCCTTCGATCCCAGGACTTCATAAGGAACCCTCTCCCCTTTCTATTATTCTTCCTTAGGGGCTGGGTGGGAAGGAATAGGGCCAGTGGGTCCACAAGAATGTCCACCTCATCCCACTGGCTCCTAAGGTCGCTTTCCAGGCGACCCCAGGACCCTGGAACTGGCATTGTGCAGATGGCGAGGGTGTGGAGGATGCTGAGGGTTTCTCCTGGCTACACTTTTTTCAGTTCTTGTTTTGAGTTTTGGGGGTTTGCCTGCACACGAGTCAGAACTGTGCTGTCATAACCCCAGGGGTGGAGGAGCTTCAGCCAGGCAGTGAGCCGCTCTTCGCCTCCAGGCTGCTAGTGGGAATCGGTCCAGAAATGATTGTGCAGGCTAGAAATATGCCTCTCTTTTTTTCTTTTTTGGCTGAACACCTTGGCTGTTGGGGTTTGTGTGTTAAGTTCTTAAAGGGGCACCCACACACTGCTCAAGTGTTATATTTTAAGGGCTCATCATTTCTGCTGCATTTTTTCCTCTTTGCTTTTTCCTTGGGGGTAATCTGCTTTGGGGCAGATTTCCAGATGTGGGGAAACCACGTGGTTTGGGTAAACAGGTTCTAGAGTCAGATAGACCTGAGGTAAGATTTTAGCTTTACAGCTGATGACTGACTGTGCTGATAGACAAATTGTTAGCTACTCGGAACTTCACTTTCTCTTCTGTCAAATGGGGATAATAGTGGCCTTATTTCCTTCCATTGCAGGGTTATTGTGAGACTTGGGGGAGATAATGAAAAGTGTTAAGAAAACTTTAAAGCACCGTTCATGTCTTGGAGTGGCTGTGGGCTTTACTCATTTTTTTTGAATTAGCTAATTCTTTTAATTATAACAAGATACCTAAGTCTTCTCTCCTTTATCCACTCCTCACCAAGAGGTTTAGTTGCTTAGATCTCAGTACCTATTTCTTTTCTTCTCTACCCTTAAATCCATCTCTCTCTTGATTTTAAGGGTTGAGACTTCAGTCTTCATATTTATTTGAGGGCAGCAGCATGGTACAGATTAGGAGGTCATGGGGGGAGTTGACTTGTCAGTGTTCAGACTCCTGGGCTCCAGAATTGGCATGTCAGCAAGGCCCCAGTTTGAGATCCAAGGCTGATGAAGGTGTCAGGAGGCCCTGGGCTGGAGCTCTGGCGTGGCCTCTAACGGTGACCTTGAACTAAGGACTCAACCTTTCATCCTTGGTGAAATCAGTCTGTGAGATTGAGAGCCAATGCTGGTCAGAGGCAAGAACAGGTGAGAGTGTCTCTCGTTCAGTTAATAAGGGTCTAATCAGGCTCCTGAGCCCCACCCCAGGTGGTACCTCTTCCCTAATCCTAGGGCAGTGATTCTCTAACGTGAGCATCAGAGTCACCTGGAGGGCTTGTTAAACCACAGATAGCCGGGCCGCACTGCCCAAGTCTCAGATGCTCTAAGTCTGGGGGGGGGGGTGGGCGGTGGCAAGAGTTTGCATCTCTTACTAGTTCCAGAGGATGCCAATGCTGCTAGTTCAGGGACGATGCCTATAGAATCATTGAGTTACGGGGTGAAGGAGACTAAAAGAGGTGAGGTTTGTTCTGAAATGCCATTATTTTAATACTTCATATATAGAGACAGGGTTTCTTTGGGGGCATTTTAGGAACTTGCCTAAAGCATTTTATATTTCCAATACCTGTACCAGTTCCCATTGCCCAGTTTTAATAATTCTGATTGCTCTTCAAATGAATGAATTTTGCACAAAAAAAGGATTCCACCTTCTTTTCATGCTGTAAAATACTTGGCCTCTGGGGTTTCTAGATCACTCTTGGGTAGACTAAGATTGATATTGATAATCAACAATTACCCTATTTCCTTTCTTTGGAGATCTCAGACATTTGTGGAAAGGAGGTTGCATAAAATTCTGGCAGCTTGAACCTTAAAGTTGAAGAACAGGTTGAATCACATTTGAGCAAGTTTTCAAAGAATTTGCAGTATGGTGTCTTCTCTGAATGAACAGCTTCCCCAGGCCTGGGGGCAGGTGAAGTACACCCTGTGACAGACGTCCCGTAGTGGTCAGACCTGGGAAAGGCCTTCCACTCCTTCTGGAGGATGGTGGTGTTGGGAGTGACTAAGACCCAAGGAGGGGGTAAGACTGACTTTCGGGAGCCCCTATGCAGTATCAGTGCTGCTCTGTGTAACTTAGCTTGTAATCAAGCACTGTTTGGGCGCAACCCAATCTTTTCTTCTCATTGTCCCCTAAGCTATGGTCCTGGGCTGAGAGCTCGCCATGACTTACGATGTCCTAAATTTAGCCTTGAATTTTAACTGCTTTGTATCAGAGAGGCTTCAGGAGCCTGCTTGAGTCAGGGGGGTTCCTGAGGTGACGTCCTGAGGAAGGAATAAGGTTTACTTAGCACTCAATGGACTAGGTGTAGGAGGAGGTCCGCACTTCAGCTAGTTTTTGTGTTGCCGTGCCAAAGGAATCCAGCTGGCAAGCATGCTTTATCTCGGCTTTCCATTTGTGCTTTGTTTTAGTTTTAAAATGATTAGCACTAGAGAAACCTATCAGTAAATCAGAAACCTATTCAAAAACTCAAGTGCACCGCTTAGTTTTAGTAGATAAAACTGCAGAGCTCATGCCTGTCTTCCTGACTGTAATCAGCATTCGGTGAAGAAACAGCCTTCAGCGTTGTTCTTAAGATTCACTAGCTAATTTAAATGGTTTCTCCCACTTAACGCGAGTAGGGAACATTTCTATTTTAAAATTTGTTCCCATAACTTGATGTTTATATTTTGGGTGTTACCCCTGCTTTTCGCCGCTAGGAGTTTTTCCAGCGTGGGGGAAGCCTCTTTCCTTATCGCCGTGGTTCACTTTTCTCAGCAAATGACTACTTGATATCTTTGCTCCCTTGGATAAGTCTGTTGTGAGACAGTCATTATGATACTTTATTTCTGTTTGGTCAGCAGAGCTGTTGTTACTAGGACAGAGTCAGCCCATTCCTGGAACACTTCTCCTTAACCTTCCTGGAGGGTGCTTTTAAACTAAAACTCGAGTTACACTGCACTAGCTCAATTCTAAGATACATTTTTTTTTTTACATTTCATCATTTTCCAATTTCAGAAATCGAGATGGGTCTTAAAAATTATGAACACATTTAATGTATGGTTTCTTTTTTCTTTTTCTGTAACCTGGCATGTTAATAGAGTAACTTCCAATTGATGATATTCTAAAACAAAGCTAATTTGGTTCCTTGCACTGGTAGGAAATATGGTTTCTACTCAGTGCTGTCCAGCTGATAGAATTGAGCAGCAATTGAATTAGCTCAGTGGTTCCCAGAGTCTGTCGGAAGGATGCTACTGGGTGGCTGTTAACAGGTGTGCTCTTGTAAAGGGCAAATCAATTTGGAAGCACTGCCTGTTATTTTTCCTCTCTTGGAGATTCTCAGCATGTGCAGCATCATATCAAAGCCCCTGAGAAGTACTACAGTTAACAGTAGCAACAACAGAAAACTTGGTTAAATTTATTCATTTAAATGTTTCCCAGAACACAGAACATTTTTGAGGTTATGTGTGTTATCTTCTAGTACTCCATTACTAAATTAGCACATTTCAACAATTCTAATATGTTAACACCATTTATGGATGGATGGAATGGTTTCATCTAGGATTTCCCTAAAATATAAGGGAATTCGTTAAATGTGGATATTAATTGATTAATGGACTCTATAGATGCTGCTTTTTATTTCAGAGTGGAGAGAAATCATTTTAAGCTGTGGTGGCTAAGAAAGTCTCCATGGAGGGACTAGACTATGAAAATGTTGTAAATGATGGATAGCACTTTTGGAGAGAGGAGAAGGGGCATTTTAGGTTGGTGGTATATCGGAGAAGGAGTGTGAAGACGTGCGCTTGTGCCTGCATGTATAATTTTCAGAGCACACTAGAAAAGGACCGTGCCTAGCACAGAGTGAGACTGAGTGAATCTGTGGCAGTGGTCAAAGAACCTATTGTTAAGTTCTTTCTTGATTCTGTAAATTCACTGAAGTAGCAGATGAGTTCTAGTGATCGTGAAGAGCTAGTTGAGGATAAACAGGGGGTGAGGCACAACGCTGAGGTTGAAAACCATGAAGGATGCATGGGACAGAAAAGGGAGAGTGAGTGTTCCTAGCCCTTTAAGGGATGGTGG